CAGATTCAATGATATTTCTGACACTGTAATTTAACCCACTCCTAAATCTCACTATAATCCCAATCCCAACCTTAACCCTATACACTAAACCTTAGTTTAAAATGTCATAACCCTACTTAACAGTATAGCTTTACAGAAAAGTATCCAGCGAATAAGTGGAATACTGTATCTACCTCCTCTAAGTCCAAAAATGCAAGCACCTTGGATTTGGCTATGATACATTAACTTCACCACTACTACTATTAATCTGATCACTTCTAGTCATCATCATTTAGAACTCTTACGCACTATTTGCTTCTTATTTATGTATTTATTGTTTCTGCGCACTTATTTAATGCCCAACTCCCGTTCCTCACTCTAGAGTATCCTTGTAATTTGATACCATTTTTCTGTTGGTCTTGAGTCTTCTAGAGCCTCGTGATGAGAGAGTGGACTGCCACTGCTAATCTTAAACACTATCTTCTACCAGCACCCTTTTAACAGCCTAAACACACATCAGACGAAAATGTATAAACAAATAGTATATTACACTCACTGTACTTGCAATATCCATCTTCAGATGTAGTGTTTATCTTCAATTTCAAATTACCACCATCTTTATCACATTTTTAGCGTTAAACTTAACTAACTGACTGAGTGTGATTGATCATTAAATTCTTTACTCAAAAATTGGTGCAACGATAATATTAATATTACTAATAAAGGCACTCACTTTGTTCTGCGAATTCGGATTGGCTCCAAAGTAGCACAAACACTTGACTAACTTATAGAAACCATTATAGGAGGCATAGTGTAAACCTGTGTTTCCCTTTTTATACCGTTGTTTATGAAATGAAAACAGAAAAAGATATTTTTTTGTTTTAGAAACAAGCATAAACAGATGGGGGTTATTCAAATGACAACATTTTGATTGGTGTGATTGTGAGAAAAGACAAATATATTGTCCATTTGGTTATTCCTTGTCTCACAGACTTGTAAATGAAACTGAAACGAGAACTTGATCTGCTCTATGATTCGAACTAGTGGTTACTGATTTAGCAGCCCGGTGCTCTATGGATTGAATTGCTGATTTACACAAAAATAATAATAACGATAACTTTATTCCACACACATATAACCCTCTCTCGCATATTCTCTTTTTGTTGTTTATATTATCACTTGCTCATGTGGAGCTTCTAATCAGACTAAATGAAACTCAGTGTGAACACTGATCAGGACTACTCATTACTGTATAGTCGTTCTTACTCATGATAATTCTCTTTTGTAATCGAATTCTCAATTTATGCATACTGTCACATACACGTGTTTTGTACTATAATCTATCGACGATCTGTTCACACATACATCTTGCAATATTGACTTTAATGGTTCGACGTTATTCACAAACCACTAATGTTGTCATTGACGTGGTATCCGGCTACGCATTGAAGGCCGTTTCTAAGAAGCAGCAACTCGGTCTGTCGCCCTTTATGGCTCCGAGACATGGTCATTGAAAGTGGAGGACTTGAAGAGGCTAACTGTCTTTGACCATAGGTGTTTGTGCTCTATTCGTCATGTTAAGTGGTATAATACGGAGAAAAGCAATGAGGTCGGCAGTAAAGTTAGGCAAGGAAGACACGTGATATGAATGAAAATCCTTCGTCTTTCTCGATGAGCAATGTTAGCTGACATATAATTAGGTTAGTAAAGAGTTAGGGGTGGTCAAATCAAAACCTGGTATCAATCCATGAACCCTTTAACTGTTTGATTGACTCACCTAGGGAGAGAGAGCAGTGAGAGCAGACTGCTCTGCCCAAGTCCTCAAGTCACTAAGAATCAATGGATGGAGACTTTCGTTGACATGACTCGAAACCGACCTCAATGATGTAGATGCATTCACACTTCATGACCTACCAGAATCACTTAATTCTGGCTATCCAGTGTGTACTTCTTTCCCCAGTACAGTCAAATCCATTATCTTTGTGTGCTATATGATGTGCGGCGACTTGAACTGCTGCACTTTTGTGCTAAGTTGTGTGTTGAAAACTCATCTACTGCTACCTAATATTCTTTCTGATGTCTACACTGTTAGTCGACTTGCTCCAGTACGAGTCGTTGTAACGCCTCTTGTTAGTGCCTTAACCTTTGGCTGTCTCGGTGACCTCCAGTGGCAGTTCTCACATCAACTGTCGCCCACACAACACTCTAAAAACACATCATACTCGCTCAGCCTTATTCACCACAAAACACCACTGAGATTTCACCTTCTTGGAGTCAGCATAGTTCTAAATAGTTAATAGTATTGAAATGATGGAGAAAATTTGTAGCTGATTCTGATTTACAACACAACTAAATCAAAAGTTAATGGTATTTTCGAAGCTCATATAAAGAATGTTTTAGAAGCTCTTACTCCCTTTCCTTTAGGTTCCGTAATTCGTATGTGTTGATTTTTTTCTTCAGTAATGATGGTATAAATTTTTGCGGAGAAGAGCATATAATATATGATGTTTCCCGAAGAATTTGTGTAAGCCCACGAAATTCGCGAGTGGGTTATTTTGTTCTCTTTGGTTTAAAAATTAGCTGACAATCCGTCAATTCTAAAACGATTATTAATGACAACAGTCTGTACTTGATGGTCTTAAGCATTCCTTATATCAGAGAGCACAGCTCAAGTTCTACTCACTGCTCCACTTGAAAAATATCTAGGCATTATGAAGTTCAAACTCCCACAGAGATATACAGAAGAAGAGCAACATAAGTAGCACTACACGAAACTCACCTCACGATCACACTGATTCACCTCTGCTCCACATCTTAAAAGTAATGAAGTTACTTGAAGGCTTTTGGAAAGGATGCTTTTGTGAAGGGGTGTATGGCCTGACTACACAAAAAAGTAGGAAACGTCAATTCAACTTGGTGAATACACTCGTCAGAAGTAATGATAGCAAGTAAATAAACATGGGGTTTACAAGGAACTTGATAAGGAAATATTTGAATCACTCAATTATATTTCCAAATGTTATAAAGGCAAACTGCAACGATACCATTGAGAATCAAATAACTAACAGTGACAGAGAACTTATCAACAAGTTATATTGACTTTACAAAGCATTCCCTGACCTGGCCTCTAACACATCAGAATGATCTAGTTTATCAGGAATTTGGATAAAGATTACTAGGCGATGAAATGCGGATGACACCACAAATGGACCACTACAGATTGTTATTTGTCTACCGATACTTAAATATTTAATACCTTAATTTATAAAACCCTATGGTTGAATATTTAAGGAGTAATGATATGCTGCAACACTACAACAGCAAAACATTCAATCATTTTGTTATTATTTTACCGCATTTCATTGGCTCTTCTTGAATAAATGTTCGTATTTGAGGTTAAGAGAAACACTCTTTACGACTGTAATGATGTATTTCCTTGTCGCTTACCGACCACGAACTATCCCAAGGTGATTCCTACTAATGTGTAACATTTAGTCGTGCAGGAAAATCCAAACTATTTGTACTGAGATGATTGTTAAGATCCATACTCATTCCCAATTATGACTTTAAAAACCAACCACACAGAAAAAAGCTGTTAATACCTCATCATTTAAGTCTACCAAATGGAGGTAAATAGTTGGAGTATAAACTTCCAGAGGACACTCGGAAATAGCAATCGATATCTACTCTATCAACTGACTTCATCCTTTTAAAACAATGTCTACTACTTCTGGCCATTATCGTTTTCATGCGCTAATCGACATATCTTGTGGATACATATTTCTAAACATATTTTGGTATGGTGACACTTCCAACCATTCAATAACAGTGGGGAAATCACCTAATGCTTGTACACTGTTGGTAGCAAACAGACGATTCCCATGACCACAGTGGTTTCTAGTGAGGCGATAATTTTTGAAATAGAAAGGTGGAGACGAAGCTGCTGGATTCATCGAAGTCAGACAGCCTCCTTGAGAAACGAATGACAATTACCGGTCTGTTCACGCATAGAAAAACTTCAAGTATCAAATTGTCACATGCTACTCTAGTTTTAGCAGCCCCTTCACTGGATAGAATCGCTAGTAACATTCCTGAATTCCACGATAACTCCGATACCAACGTTACTTTTGATATTTGGTGCAGGCAATTTCGAAATAGATTTCGCTGGCCAAGATAGCTTCTGGGAAGCATGTCTCCTTCTTCGAAAATTGAGTCCACGTGAACACCGCAGCATAATTCTGCGGCAGAATTCACGCGATCGCGCCTGCTTATAATTACGAAGGATTTCTGTTTTGTGATGTTTAAGTCTGTGGGTGATCTCTGATGTCAAGCGATATGAGGTGAAAGCGTTATGCATGAGTAATGATTTTCATCTCAACAGACTTCCAAATATTTGATAGGAAATTTTATCTAAGGCTTCTAGTATAAATACAGTATTCTCGCAACACATATAAAACACTAATACAGTGCATAATTATATTTGAAATAAAGACATTTCAATAAAACAAATGGGCATTGTGCAATCGCCAAGGAATTGAAACAAAGCAACAAACAAATGATGTTCTCAAGATGTCGAGAGCGAATATACGTGGGTCACTTTGTACCATGCTTTTGGAAACTTTCAGCTGCTTACAGCAACCCTAATCATGTAACCTACACTTTCTGAGGTGACTTCGATCACCAATTTACCCGACTAATTTTGGCAAAGATTCTGAGCAAAGAAAGATACTGATCTAGCATGTGACACGTTTTGCACCCATCACAGGTTCACTGGTATGTCTACTAACTTACAGACCGCACATAATCCTTGGTGCTTAACTCCGACATTCTCATTCGGATACCTTACATTTCACAAGCCTTGACCTAATGGTACTTATAGACAGATGCACCGATTCTCTCTATGTCTGTTAGTTTTAATGCTCCCCATTCCAACTGTACACCATGTTTTAAACACCAGTTACATACAACATGAATAATATGAAGTTTTTAGTTGAATAAAAATACGACATTGAATAACTTACGCTATCCATTAAATTTACATCTGCTCGTCCACTTTCTATCAGCGTTCTGCACAAGCGAATATTTCCTGCTTTACACGCATCGTGAAAGAGACTGTGTACCTATGATTAGTAAAGTTCACAGGAATTTATTCAGCAGTGTATTTGCAAGACAGTGGCATAGTGGTTAAGGTTATAAGTCGATGTGATACAAAATATAACAACTATCGGGATCAATTAGATGGCATTTGCCTAGATGAAAAGAAATACCATTAGTTCACCTTATATTAAATTGGAGAAACCCTCTGACCAAATGATTCTAGTTCCAAATATACAACCTCAAAATCGGAGATTATCCATCAGTAATTAGTGCATGGTGTCGATACAACACAAAAAGCTCCAGTCAACAGAGAAACACAAATTGAATGTCTACCATCAGAGCACATATATTAATGTGTATTATAAAATCTGTTTGAAACGACTACAGGGAAGTATGGGTAGTATTCGCCTAGAAATGATGTTATCTTGTAACAAACAAAGTAGAATATCACTGAGAAAACTGAATCATCTGAGGTCACGCAGCATAGAAGAGACATTTTCCGATGGCGGAAATATGTCGGGCTTAGTTAGAGACGAGCATTCGTTAGCAAGGCGGACTCGGAGCATTTAGAAAGTAGCAGCCTCATATACACGTGTATTCTACACCAAGACTGATGCATTACTGGATGCATTATTTTAAATGGCAAAGAGATCACTGAGATAGTATAACGCGCCGACTGATGCACTGTATTCTAAGTCGAGGCTAGTAATACATTCCCCAACTTGCGTTATCTCTGTTGTTGGTGTGACATCTAACTATGCATTGAAGGAGGTGTGCTGTGCGACATTTTCCTCCAAACGTCTCTACACCTGTGAAACATGGTTATTGAAATTCGCTAGCATAATAATTCAGTAGAAGCATTAGTTCCCGGCATATCAAGTCGTTGGTTCACTGTAACATGCAAGCCTGACCAGCACTTTAATGTCGGGAAGTGTCATTAGCATAGATATGTATGTTATTCTGTTGGTGAACGCGACATGTATGTGTCTAGCGGCATTGCACATTTCTAATATTGAAAAATTATCGTATACTTTTCAAGTCGTGGGAAATAAGTTAGAGCATGTGTGTACAGCTTTGACTTCCATTTTCGTGATGTGAGGGATGATTTGGATAAGCTGTTAGGTGTCAATCGATATCGTGTTTTCGATTTCTCAGTTTGACGTCTATAAATTTCAGTAATGCGTACATTTTCTCGCTTCCTAGCTCTGTTACGACACTGTTATCTGTGAACTTCTTTTTGACACTGATTTGTAATTTTCGTTTTATGTCTGACAACTGTATTTTCCAGAAAGTTCACCTCCTTGTATATTATGAGTTTATCAACCGATCTAAAAGGTGTGAAAAGCCTATACTAGTGTGTTGAAGAGTTTATTTATGAAAAAAACGTGAGTCTAATGAACAAAGCATAAAAAATAAGAACTGTCAGACACGATATAAAGAGCAGGATCTATCAATCGCAGCCTAATCTGTTGCTTGAAGTCGACCTCAGCCATGCCATTGTGAGAGTAAACCATCTTCATTTGGCTGACGATTTCTAAAACAGAGATGGCAAGAATCGATTTCATTAGCGTTCAGCATCAAACACAATTAATATCACTTTGTCAGAGATTAGAATATTAGAAATCAATGTGATGAAAAACGAATGATCGTAGATAACGAATACAAATAGCTTAATGCTCTATCCTGTATGGTTATAATTTATAAGTTTGCATCTAGCAATATGACAGGAGGTTGATCATCGCTTGGAAAGCATTTACACAGCTGGACAGATTCACAGCAGGGACAATATTGAGGCTAAACTGAAAACTAGGTGGTGAGGAAGGTAAGTTAGTCGGTGAGTTTGAGGACCTGGACTGACTGATGATTGGATTATTTGTTACATATTCTGATACAGTATACCTCAGCGAGTGATTTTAAAGTAAGGTGGACTCATGAGAAAGCTGAGAACACCAGACCAAATCATGGGTTACAAGAAGCCAAAGAAGTGCAGAGAAGTGAAATTTGCTGGGATATAAAATTTAATGCAGACACTCAGACTTATGCTTGGTGGGTGGGTGGTTTGTTCTCTTTCTTATGAACCCAAATGTTCCACCGTCTACAACAGTCCGAGGGAATTATGCTGCATTTCAATGCATTAAACATTGTCTTATTTAATCTCGCCTGTATTTCGTCACTACAGTTTCGAAACATGCATGCAATTCTCAGGTCTTTCGTCGTTGCTTCATTTGTCGTTTGAAACAGCCTCACGATCTCGACTACTGATCAGCAGCTGTAGACCACTGTAGCTACTTCTCGTAATGCACTCCAAAACGCTTCAGCACTGTCTTCAGAAAAGTTAATATAGTTTTGTTCTCATTAGAAGTTTCTGTTATTAAGCCTTATATGTCTCTTATAAGTCTTATATATCTCGTCTAGTCACACAACATCGTTCGCAGTAATTTCATTCAGTCATTTTCCACTTCTCAACATTTTTAGGGTCCACCGAAAGTTTTCTGCCTGTATACATCAGTCTAGATGACACTGCACACCTCTACTGGGCTCGGGGAACCCTTGGATTCTGCTTATCACTAACTGTCTTCACCACTATTTCTGCAACGTTAGGTCCCCTGGTTCCAAAACACAAACATGATAATTTCATGAGATATCTGAAAATGTTGGACCTTTGGTGTGTTAATTCGGTTTCACCTTCATTCAGATGCACACACAGATGTGCATAAAATAACACATGGATGTTACGAAAGGATCAGAGGTCATTAACCGGTTGTCTGCACCCACATGTTGTAGCCTAGCGGTCTGTTTCAGTTCAATGTCAGCTTCATATAAGTAGTTATCATGTAAAACAATATCTTCCATTTCGCTTGAGGTTAATGCTGGTCGGAAATTAGTAATTATCTAGACTAAATTCTTAGACATAATAACCGTGGTTAGGGTTATTTCATTGACACTTGAGACCGTGGATAACTTCAATATGTTCCCCCGACAAGCTCAGTCTCCTTACTGAACACAAAAGCCACTTGCTAAGATTACTTGTGAGCGTCTCACGTTTTGTAGTCCGGGATAGGAACACTCAGACTCCTCGTTTCGTGAGCGAGGATTACAAAAAGGCATCAAAGATCACCACAGCCTTCGCCTATTTTCTCGAAACCACTTAGCTGCAGATGATTATCTGTGGGAATACAAATAGATCTCAAGACTTTTCGCCGACAACTTCTAGAAGACTACAAAAAGAAATTATCGATAGCTGCTGCATGAATTTTGTAGACCGGGACTGTTGTACAGTTCACGTGGAATCAAAAATCCCGCTTGAGTCTTGTATGCATTTCGTAAAGATTCAAATGCATTTAAGGCGCAGAATAAAAGTACCTAACGCTTGACCCAATGGAGCTCCAATGTGGATTTTGCAGCCGGGATTTGAACAACTAGGTATTCTATTGTCGTTTAATGGGTACAGAACAAAGATACGAGGGAGAGGCTGAGAAATGGACAGAAGGACTTCCTATGAAGTAGGAAGTCCCATTTTTATATATGTGGTGGTGTGCTGTTATCGACATTGCGCGAGCTCACATTGCAAGACGGCTTGAAACGTGCCCCAGTTGATATTATTGCTTCGTCATGGATACTCTCCCTAGGTGATTCGTTTAACTGGAGAAAGTGTTAAAATTAAACATAGAAAGAAAACTGAGTGCACACTAACTAGATAGGTAGAATAGTATTGTTGACCACTTTGCGACAATTGGTTCTTCAATGGTTCTCCAATGAAGTGTTTCATGTAACTTTAAGCTTAACATATCGCCAGACTTTTAAATGTAAAAGTTCCCTAACGTAGCTTTTTAAAAGAAAACCCCGGAAAATATGCATTTCGTGTCAACAGATTTGCTGTGGAAACACTAATATACACATGAATGTCTCAGTACATCCGATTAAGTTACACCATAAAATCTGTATCACAGATTTCAGTCTCAGGGTAGCTGATTGGTTTGACTGTCAACAAATTGGTTCGGGATTTAAATTCCATCTTATCTATTTTCCCCAAATAATTGGTTGAATTCACAATCTGTCACACAACGAGTTTCGTGCATTGCATACACCGGGTTGTCAATTCACTTTGTAAGGTTTTCCTGATAACCATTAACCAGAATGCGACTCGTGTAAACAAAGCCGGTATACTGATATGAACTCATCAATTCCAATGCAATTACATATACTGACAACAGGAGATTTGGGAATATTTTATCACTTCACTACATTTCAGTCAGTTTACTATTATTACTTACTTTGACTAGTAGTAACTGGCAAATCTATAGATTGAACAAGTATCCTCTGCTCCCCTGTTTATCCACTTCCACAAAAATACAAACATTTCAATCCGACGAAACAACACCAAACACTTCATTTAGGTAAATTCAAGTGTGTCAATGTCTAAATACAATGGATATGAAATTATTGTTCAGGAAAACATCAGCTAAACCCGTGTGACGTGTCTACGGTTCATATTGATAAGGACACGTTTTCTTTAAGAGATAAAAGCAGACAATATTACATGCACACAACCCCTGAATATATATATATATATTCTCGTCTGCATCAGCCTTATTTCATTTCCACTGCATATCAACTAGAAGCCTTAAATTAAGTGAAGCGTAAATTCATATAGTGTTCATACTTCATTTTCATTAATTAATTATTATTGTGATAATTGTAACAAAGCATGTAATTCACGCCTATTCATCTTTATAAATTAAACAATACCTTATCCTTTTCGAAATCTTCATCCGGTGATGAATCGGCAGTGTTTGAGGGAGGTGTTGTCTCGTTTAAGTTACTATGAATATATTTGTATTTCTGTAAGGAAAGCGGAATAAGAAGTATGAGCAGTGAGTATCAGCACGACTTCAGAGTAAATCTACTGAGAAACTGTTTGAACAAAATGTTTAAGATTGTCTAGGTTCAAAAGGCGTTTGTCGGAAACGAAAGTAGATTATGCATCGCGAAAAGGTTGAAAATCATTGTCCAATCAATTTAAGCCTGATAGCTGAATAGCAATATACTCACCTCTCGACCTGGAGGTCCTGTGCTCGGTCAGTAGCAAGGTTTCGCCTCTGCACCACAGATAAATAGACCCCCTTAAACACTGTACAACTATCCATTTTAATGATCTCTCTAGATGATATCGGTTCACAACTAAATTTAGCATGAAACCAATCAAATACTAGCAAACCTACTCACTTAACACAATGATTTCTCTAAATTTCCACTGCCCGATTAAACAGTTAATAAACTTCTACCATGCATAGACTGACAGTGCAATATTTACATGCTATATGTAGACTGTATATAAGGTCATGCAGTTAGGTGGAAATTTGAATGAGACTAGAGAATGAATGAGGTGCTTACGATGTACCAGTCTTTATAGTGCAGAACAGAATGAAATTTTCTTTTCTACATATGTGATGTGGCACTAATAGATAGACAGGAAATAAGAGATATTTGACTATCTTATACCGGCAAATCTGCAGAAACATTGGTGTACGGGTGAAATTAGTCGCACAAGTATAAGCAGAAAAGATACCTGCTGCATTTCTAGCGAAAAGCTAGAACACTTGTGTCGGATATCTGCCCAATTCTGAGGTGCATACAGAACGGAAGAGCTTTCCAGGTAGTCACAAGAGAAAACAATATAGTGAGGCTGCTCGCTATTTAATAGAATATTATAGAGACTATATTGGTGAAATGGGTAAACACTTCTCACTTCCCTCTCTACTTTTGTTGATCACTCTGCATACATGTATGATTTCTCAGTCTGTATTTCAGTTGTCCAAACTGTTTGGCGGTCTAAACAAGACGAACGAATCATTTTCGGCACTGACTTACACTTTCTCGAATCTCATACGCCACAAGATCCCTTGGCACGTCTTCCTGAAGAGTACCAATAAAAACAAGATCTATGTGTTGGACTTCTCACGCATCAACTCCTAAGGACTAATGCCAAAATATTTCAATGTACATTAGTGTTATGCCACATTACTTAGTGACCACATTGCATTTTTGATCGATAAATTTGAGTGGACACACTAGAAAAGCGGATTGCTTATCAACCGGGGATTAATTCATGTGCATCTTCAACATTTAATGTTGACCACCTCATTTCATAACGTGTATATATTGGTCAGTGCTGTACACTTCTAAATGCACCATTTCTCAGTCACTTTCCTTCGTTTACGACCAAGACTTCCAAGGTAAACGATGGCCGAAATATCTCAGTCTTCTTTGTTCTTCAACTCTGGGTAATTTGTAGTCATGAAATACTATCAATAGAATGGAGATGTATTACTGACTCCTTATGATTCACTAGGAACCTAAGGAGTTAATAATAATAATAATTATAATAGTAGTAATAATATCAACGGTAATTAAGAGCACAAGTAAGCCGTATAGTTGACCGCCGGCTGACTTGTGTTAGACGAAATACTTTTCCATATTTGAAGTATCAGTAACAGCAATAATACAATTATGATTGTTAATGGTAGTGGTAGAAGCAGTAGTAGTAATACTGGAATCAGCTTTCCTCAATTAAAGTCTAAGATTATCCATCAGTAATTAGTGCATGGTGTCGATACAACACAAAAAGCTCCAGTCAACAGAGAAACACAAATTGAATGTCTACCATCAGAGCACATATATTAATGTGTATTATAAAATCTGTTTGAAACGACTACAGGGAAGTATGGGTAGTATTCGCCTAGAAATGATGTTATCTTGTAACAAACAAAGTAGAATATCACTGAGAAAACTGAATCATCTGAGGTCACGCAGCATAGAAGAGACATTTTCCGATGGCGGAAATATGTCGGGCTTAGTTAGAGACGAGCATTCGTTAGCAAGGCGGACTCGGAGCATTTAGAAAGTAGCAGCCTCACATACACGTGTATTCTACACCAAGACTGATGCATTACTGGAAGGTGTAAAATCTCACCAAGTACCGTCTGACTGAGAATAGCTCTCGCACAGAAGAAAAACGAAAAATGCCAGAGAATCCCTAGAAGACTAATTTGCAATTAAAACCTATGCGGGTATTCATCAAATTTATCAAACAGATAAGAATAAGTGGCACTATCGGCAGGTCAAATGTTGCGTCAACAAGAAATCTGACGCTTACGCAAGTGAATACAATGATAAGAAGACATCCAGCTATAACAGATCACAGCCAAGTGCATCAGATAATACGGTATGTATATGCCTACGACTGAATGGACATGGGAAAGGGGCTTCTATGAAAATGACACCTCCCCAACTTCATGAGAACACTAAGTCACCATTTAGAGAGGAAGGTGACAGACGCGTATCTGAGACTAACAGCATAACTAGGCCTGACGAAGCCTGTCACGATATAGAGTCCCCCGTAGTAATAGTGTTCAACGCAGTTGGAAACCAGAAACCAGAGGTTAGTAAGCGTCTGTGAAATTTTGCTACTTCATCCAAACTGAAAGGCCCATCAAGACTCATTCTGGTGGCCTCTGAATATGAAAAGCAGTGAGAGCCACTAAGATGTAAGCTACTACTAGACTGGTTAGCCTACGTGTTACTGAACATCTCCCATCATGGTTTGGTAAAGGACAGACAAAAACCATCCGAAGCGCTGTGTGATTTATCAAAATAAAATCTTATCCATTATGGAGACTCTGTGTTCGTCTACTGCATATAGCAGAGGCGATTGACCTTAGAACTATTAAGCCAAAACCCAAGTCAAGGAAGAGTGTCTATTTATCATGTCATTACGCATCGACAGATAGGAATACTTACAGGCGTGCAACACCTGCAATACTTCTTGAAGTGAAGGGGGAATTTAACTGCATCGACTTTGTGGGAATTGTGCCAAAGTCTAGTCGTGAAAGGGGCGACAAGAATTTACACTATACTTACTAATCAAGACAGTGTAACTGAACTCATGCAGGCATGTAACAGGTGACGGAAAATCTTAGTTTGTATGCCTAATTCATGCATCATTCTTTTCTATGCTACTGACATATTGAGGTTCACTGTTAGAAAGACGAAATACATTGAAATGAATCAAAATAGCGGTTGTATAATTGAAGCGGAAGAAAGACTCACCAAATTCTTATTATCTGGGTATCCCCGTTTGCGCATCATTTTTGGTAGGTCCTCCTCAGACGATGTTGTATCATCGCCACCGTTATAGTTTGAGAGACTTGTGATCATGTCATTGTTTGCTCCATTCATTGAATTTCCTCGAAGATTTTCAATATCTTCCAATGCCAATCGAGCAGGATGCAGACGATGATATGAATATCGTGATACTTCATGCTTTTCCGTGATATCTGACGCCATTATCCTTAAGATTTCAGGGCAGCGTTGGCACAAGGCGATATCGTCTGGTAGTTTATCTTGAGCATTAATCATCTCACGTATATCTACATTCTCATTCGGTCTACTAGTATCACGAGAAAAACAGTCCAGTTCCATTCTATCTTTGTTGGCTCGTAATAATTGCTTCACGATGTCAGCATGTCCCATTGATACTGCAATATGCATCGGATTATCTAATTTAGCGTCAACTATATCAATCCTAGCGTGGAAATTTAACAGCATCGTCACAATACGCCTCTGATTGTGAAGTGCTGCAACGTGCAATGGTGTTTGACCTACCTATGGATTTAAGCAGAGAAAAGTGTTACATTTTAGGGACCATGAGTGGTGAAAGAGAGAAAAACAACTTGGAAGTTAGCCAATAGTTGGGTATATAAAGTTGTTAGCAGAAGTTTTTTTAATTGTACCCTTTTAATATCCATTCACAAGAGATATCAGTAAGGAAACGTGTGCCTTCATAAGGACTCTGATCGACATCATTCATCAGCAAGTTACTCAGTTTGCAGTTATTCTCATGCTAGATAGGACTGGATCCTGCTCGCAAGTCCTCCACTATACGGTGAGCAGCGTCAACAACATGCATTGAGGCTTATATAGTGAAATCTGTAGTTGATCGTCAACTGAATACTAAACAGTGTATGGCCATGTAGTCCTGCTTTAATTCATGACTTTTCAGTAGTTCATAAACTCAGCAGTTGAAACTGAATTTATTCGCTCTTGCATTTCCTCGACATTTCTTAACTCAAAATGGTTTTCAACATACCTTTCGAAAGTTCGCAGACTTAATTAAGTGTCTACGAAGTGCAGTACTCCTAATTAGCAGGGTGAACCACTGTTCTCCCTATACCTCCCTGTTAATCAATCAGGACAGAAGGAAAAGAAAGTGCTCACAATTTTAAAGATAATAAACAAAGATGATAATAGTTGCTGATCTCTTTATGAATAGATTCGAAGATAACATCTTTTCAAGCATACGCAAGCCCAAAATGTAGTTAAGATACGTTGATGATACTTTCGTAGTGCTAAAACGAGATCTGCACATTTTATTCTTGGAGAAACTGGACAATCCATCTCCCAGAATTCAGTCTACTTCGGAAGCAGAATCAGACGTCGGTGAACTACCATTTCTAGACTGCCTAGTTAAGAGGAGGGAAAACGGATATTTTAATATATCTATATCCAGGCAGAAAACCCACTCCAACGAATATTTAGACTTCGGATCATCACACCCCATCAGCGCAAAGTCATCAGTCGCTTCAAGTCTTCTTAGACGAGCGCAGCCTTCAATAACGGATGGGAAGGAAAGGGAAAAAAATATCAAACATTACTGAGACTCTCAAGCAAAATAACTACTCAAAGACCTTCATCAACAAAGTCAACACTTACACTAAGTACGGTCGAAGACGTGTTCCGAAGACATGGGCCTCAACAGTCGTTATTCCATATAGATCAGAGACGTCAGACGATATCAGAGGAGTAATCAATAAGCACGACATCAGAGTTTTCTTCAAAGCATCAGACTCACACACTACAAAGCAACCTTGTCCTTATAAAAGACCAAATCCTCAAGGATTCTCTATCTAATTGTGTCTACGAAATAATAATATGCTTGGAATGTGATGCAATATACGTCGGACAAAAATCGCCAGAGGGAAATCAAAATCAGAAGAAATGAACACCGTGGAGCATCTAATCAACCACTGAGAAATCCAGTTGAACTAGAAAAGCCTGAAAAATCATCAGCCATAGGTGGTCTATACGTCATAGAATCAGGTCACAAAATTGATTTTGACAACATTGAAATCATCATCCGGAAAAATTTCAAAAGTCATAAAGAACGTCTAATATCAGAAGCACTTCATATCGAGTGGAATCCAAATTGTCTGAATAGGAATGATGGTATAAAACAGAATTTGACCTAGTCACAACACCTTCCTCCCACATGAAGTGACAAAATCAACACGAATGTGATAAGAAATTTCATTATGTGAACACACGCTGCTTTTATAATTTCATACACTTATCAAATCCAACAATGTACACCTGGTTTTGTTATCTTTACCAATTGGCCAACTTGACAACGCAAAAATGACCCCATGCTGATGGACGATGACTTAGTTGTTATATATACGCTGAGGTTTTGTAAATTCTGGTTTGATAATACTTTGATGAAGCTAATAGCATTAAGTAGCGTTTTTTTCCATTCTTTGGGAAATACAAAAATCTTTGATGAAAATGACAAAGAGTGAATACATCTGCACAATCGTGAAAGGATTCCAGTCTCTAAGTTCCCTGAGGACCTCAGTCACACAATCTGTGTGGCTCAACTCAACAATCATAGACCTAATGAATTCTCACTATATTTTGACTTAAAAAACCCTACTTATTTTCCAAACTAATTCTACTAAAGTAAACACTGTTGACCAGAGATGTCGGTAAACTGACATGCTGAAGACGCACCCTAGCCACTTCTAAAATCAAATTTACAGTACTTCTTGATTTTCGACAGTTCTTTCAGCTGATACCAATTTGTGAAGAAACCAACGCGCAAATCTAAAATCTGATGTATTGCTGATTGTGCATATTCATTCATTTGGCGAGAAGTTTATTTTCTTGCTGTGCTTTCAAAGGTAGAATGAACGAAAAGTATTAAAGACCATTTCATTCTAGAACTATTCTCTTTTAACTAATTCACACCATTCATCTTACTTACTGGACAGGTACAAGAAATAATGGACTTACAAATCCAATGCTGTGTACACCTCAATCTACACAAACTGACAACCTACAGACAATTACGAAGCTTTCGGTCATTTTTTTGTAATTAAGGTATTGTCTAAATCCTGACACTTCATTAGTCAGTCGGAATACACACTTAGACTAAGAGAGATTAGCAGAGTTATTAATAAACGATTTCGTAAGTCTTGGGACACAGTGAATAATTTTTAATTGCATACTCTAGCACATTCAAACGCATGTGCGATGTAAACACGTAGGATTATAATCGATACAAGGGCTTACCCATTTGCTTAGTAAACAGAATATAAAATCTTCCAATGAATTCATCAGGTTAGGCTACAAGGTGTATTACAGCTTTTTCACATATATATGCATATGCATATGAATTATCCATTTTCTATTTCAGTTGTTGAGTGAAGTATGTCACCTTACAATAATTGTAGCACAAAAATAATAGTCAAGAGTTTTATCACTCCACACCATGCTAGAGTGTAGATCGAATCGTCGAAAAAGAGGATGATCAAATGCAAAATATACTAGTATAATATCTTTCAATTAAACCCATAGTGAACTTAAAACAGCTATTGAGGACTAAATCTGTAATTAGTAGAGTAAAGTAAACATAAATTCATGATATCGAGCGAGACCATAGGGAAATTCACTATCACTTGATGAGTGTCTCAGAACACAGACTCCTCGTGTCGACTGAAGTCAATCGATAAAGTCTACAAAGCGACTCAAAACTTGGTGCAATATAATTCTCTAATGTCGATACTCGTCTATGACCATTTGGGAAACTCACAAAAACAAATTAATGACAACAGGACTGATTGCTTAGGCATTCTTCACGACGATAGGAAGAACAGATGGAATTCTCACGACAGAGTTGAGTTTATACAAAATTAAAATATTTTTTATATTCATAAATGAGAAAATCTGATTGGACTGCTGTTTCATAACTTCACCTTGTTTACTAGTCGGTCCTAGGTCCAGAAAAGAGGTAGGCTGAGTATGGGGCTAGCAACCTCACAGCATAATAACACACCCTCATCACCACTGAAACTGTAAAGCACACGAAATGTAGACTTATACTCCACTGGAATCGAAACCACTCCTCAATTCGTCGACGGATGACGCAAGTTTGTGGAAGCCTTCGGGAAGTCAGTCCGCCGGCAAGTCTTCTTTCGATGAAAGCGAAAGTAAGCATGTCGACGTGGAATGTCCTCACCATGCTTCAGGCTAATAACAATAATGCCGAGGTCGCATGTGGAAATCATAAGACATGGTGTGTGAGTGTTAGTGTAAGGCCAGGTAGACTGGAAGTAGACTCTAAAAATTGTTGACTGGAAGGTCAATATTCTCCTCCGCTCACCCAGATGACAATCAAAGGCTCACTGAGGAGATGGCTATCATTGCGTTAGTGGCAATATCAAAAGTTCTCATTCAGTGCGAACCAATCCCCTCCGGGATCGTGGCAACAAGGTTCAACTCACTTCAGTGGTGATGCGTTACCTGAACAGAATAGTATAATCATGATACTTTCGCTGTTACTCTAGCCAATATTTTTAGCACGGACCCCAGAAGGAAGTGGTGTATTAGAATTTCAAAAAGTCGTTCTGTAGCATGTTATGATGATTTGATATGTATTCAGTGACTACCACACAACTTATATCCAGTAATAACTTGGTTCCATCAATATTATTTCACTTTTGGAAAGCTTGGCTCAGACCCTCTTTTCTGTTTCGCTATCGACTTAGTTTGTCCTACAAATATGATTTCCATTCAAGTGTTGGATTGTGGGGATTTGATTGGTTTCATGATTTGATCATGAGCTGACATCGATTAGAGAACTATTGGAAGACCAACTGAGAGTACTAGACATCTGTTTCGTCCCGGCTTGGGACTCTTCAGCACCCACCGGTGGTCGAACGCAGTGAGAACTTACTACTCGCTTACCCAATCACTCACACACTCAACTGCTCGCATTTCGGGCAGAGAATTCAGAATTCCTATTGTTTAAAATCTAGTGCATCAACTGAGATAGCCTATAAGTGCTTGTTGTTTCTTATTGCATCTACAGGTGTTGTCAGTTTGTATGAACTGCCTTCAAAGTAGTTAAACTGTACAACCACTCGCCTTCACCCCACCACCACCATCACCACAACTACTACGCAAAATAAACAACTAACAAATATAAATTACTGTGCAACTTGAAAAGTCATTAAGCCATTTGACTTTGGACAGCGGGTTATCTTCATTTAATGTTTACCTGAGTATTCAAATATATTTTAAAAATCATTTAATTGCTTGGCTTCAACTTACTCGATCCTGAACATTGATATCGCTTCCACAACACACAAGGATCTGACAAGACTTCTGATACCCATATCGCGCAGCTAAATGCAATGGGGTGGTACCATCCTTTTAAAATGAAAAGAACAACAGGAAATGATTTTGAACACAGCTAACGTTGTGGTTATGACTGATCTTTTGAAATAATTTAAGTAATATGCTATTGGAACAGTGCCTAACCTCAAAACGCTTTTAGAAAGCTAGAATGCAACACCAAACGATGACGAGTAATTTTTTCGAGAACTGTCAAATTATTCACCGATTATTGTCTGCCACACAAGTGACCGACTAAAGAGATCCATATGATATGTCTTGCATAACTGAGGCTGGTTGTACTCGGTCACCCAGCTCATTGTTTTGACGCCGATAAAAGGAATGACTGGAACGAGTTATGCCCGTCTTCTAGCATCAAATGAATCTAGCAGCTCACTTAACCATGCAGATCAAATCCACTGAAGAACAGAAGGAAAAGTTTGTAGAAAACTTGTAGGACGTTTTCAGTAGCTTAATTCTCCATTACATACTCGTTAATAGCCAAGAATATGATGTTGGAAAGCTGTTTTAAAAAGCTCATAGGTTAGGAAGGCCTGACAAGCTATGTTTTACGAAGATATATATATTCGTGCTACGATTTAAGCTTTGTGCGCTCAAGACTTCATCACTTTCGTATCTTATTCGATGTTGACTCTTTTGTCATAATACTCAAGACATGTTTGCAGAGTTTCAGTATGGTTTAATTATTATTTCCAAAGTTTTAAGCTATCTTCCGGAGGAAAATAATCAAATCTAAATTATCGAAGGTGACGGTAACAAAGCTTATAACCAGAATTTGGATAAACCCATATATGTTCATCCTTGGTATTCAATCTTGTATGTGGCGCAAAGTCTTTCCTGCAGAGCCCTGCATTAGAGTCACTAAGTATCTGGGGTCTCGGAAATTATACTAGAGCAACATTCATGTTGTTTTACTCTCTTATCCACTCGTCTGGATGTTTCCTCCTGTACGTAGCATCAGATTGGCACATTTAGACTCATAAACACACTTCCAATTGTTTCCCTCCACTAATACATTGTTAACGCTTGTTATTCTTTATTTCTTGCGAAGTTGCTCTCTGTTTAGGAAACCTCATAGTATCAAACCAGTTCTTCGTGAGGATTTTCGACTTATTTCTTACTCTGCCTATCGGAATCACTCTTTATAACATTCAGGTTTTGCAAATACAGAAATGTATATGCATATATATCTTTTACCGGGCACCTGATATTTGTCAAACTATTCCGTCACACCTTGGTAAAAGTTCATATGATTCTTTTCAGAATGCATACACAATCCACATCACCAGTTCTCCATTGAAAAGTAGTTCCTCCACGTTTTCTAATTTCCTTCCCTACTCTCAGTGTAGTTCTGTTTTCACAAAGCTCTTAATAATGTAAGACATGAGTATCAGATGCATGGAAAGAATTTACGCATCCTTCCTCCAACCATAAAGAGAGTATAACAAGGTTTCGTTTCAAGAGAGCCTCGAGACACTTTACTGATGCACATTTATGTACAATGCAGAGGCATTACATGGGACACACCATCGAAGTTCTCAACTCTACTACAGATCAGGATGATTAGATGGTCAGATTCGAAAAATAGAAAGCACACGTTTACTTATTTTTATTAGTATCCGCATACTACTGAATTTCCGCTAATAGGATAGTATGCTAGGACAAACATGCATTAGGCGCTTGAATCTTCGATAGGACGTCAAGTGATGCCGTTAATCCTCTACAAGACATGAATAAAGACTGAGTAATAAAAATTCATCCCATAACATTAATGGAGACAATAGTTTTCCTGGATGTGAGGAGTAAAGCTTTGTACAGAAACTTATCAAATTATTGACATCAGTTATCTATGATACTTACACTATCAAGTGAAACACTTGTGTTGTCATTCAACAGCAATTTATAAACCAATTTATCTAAAAAGTAATTGATGTACCATCATCAATTAGGCACAACAACTTCACCATGAGCAATATGAAGTAGAAGTTTGCATTATCCACAACGCATAAGACAGAATTGGCAGACAATCAGCTGGAAACAGGACTGACATTTCGAATGTGAACAATCACACAGTGAGATCTTAACCTCAGTTTGTCTTCATGCTCAATAATAAAAGCCACCATGGCACCCGAAAAGAAAGTAGCGCTAGAACATCACCTTTTCACCATCTCCCCCTACGCTTCAACAATTTCTTGTGTTGGAAAAATTCATTTCCTTGTACTAATTTAAAACAATCGACAAATGCGAATGAAGCAGAATCTACTTGTAGTAGGACTCCTCATCTGAATACTCGACATACAGGGTTATATATACTATGAGAAGTGAGTAGAGAAATGTGTGACTAATTCACTACACTGAATCATGAACAGAAAATTCTCATATTGATTTATAAACAAAAGAAGACGTAATAGCAAGTAAAATTATCTTTTCGAAGAATCACTTATACTCAACAAGGAATTCACAAAGTCAATTAAATCTACGCAAATATATATATATCTAAATGTACATATTGTGCATTACATATGTGAGTTGTAATCTAGAAGCGAATGGATATGTGGAGGTCAAGAAAAAACGGATGTTGCAATCACGTAATAGGTGTGGAAAACGACTAATCAACTTAAATGGACAAAAGCTAATGGAAATACGATAAGGTGTTACCATAAAATTGTATCGGAAATGTAGTGTTATTAATAAACAATAATAGTGGTAGTAATAACTATGAAATATAATGACGACTCCAAATAAGTCATTCATACATGGCTGAACCACTGGCTATTCGGGACCTGATACCGGATCTCTGTATTGAAAAGCACTACATACAATCACTCGCCATACCATGGCGTGAGTGTCATTATTCCCATGGTTTTCGTTTTGTTGTTTAGTGTTTTAGCTTACTGCAATTATTTTACAATTATTACTATCATTTTTATTCTCTAATGATAACATTGCCTGTCTGATGCAGATTTTAGGTGAGCACTCCACCCTCTTATCCATTTTGTACATTTAGACTGATTAGTCATATTCCACACTTATTACATGATGGTAACCTCCGTTTTTTCTTCATCTCCACTTATTCATTCCCTTCTAGATTACAGCTCACATTACGCAATACAACCTTCTGAAACAGTGAATCAGTCATGTGGAACGTAAGTTTAAAATGTTTTGCCAGTCAAGCTCAGACTGATAGGAAATCAAAGGGACATAAGAAATGAAAAATTGAAACCATAGTTGATTATAGTTCACATACGTTACCATAAGACATGATGAGTCATCAGGGGTAAAACTTGAAAATGCTAGGGATTACAAACTGAATAATGGTAGTAACAATAGTGAAAAATAGTAAAAAGTAGTCGTAATAATAATAATAATAATAACGACGTGACTGCTTAGAACCTACCATGCTAATATCTTCCACTTGTTAACTGTTACTATTACCATTGCTTTACTTCATATATTATTATTATTATTACTGTTCCAATCGAAACCACCTTTGTCACTACCATTAACTGAACTCGTTACAACATTTTCACTATTAACATTGTTACTATTAGTATTACTATTATTATTCATTTTGCGACTTTTAGCATTTTCGAGTTCTCGCTCTGACAACCACTTGCGTATTATGATGACGTAATTTTTCATTTCTCTCGCCACTTCCACATCCAATCTATCTCAGGTTGACCCGTAAAATATTCTGACCTTTCGTTTCACGTGATTGATCCACTGTAGTTTATTAGTTATATATCATTGTTTATTTCTCACAGTGTATATACAACACTGTATACAGAGTATTTAGCTCAGGAAATCTGCCGAAATTCGATGAATGCATTAAATTCGACTTTGTTAGCATTTGTTCCTCGCTTTAAAGTTTTGTGAGAATGAAACTGAGAATGAATTCTTTCGTCAGACAATTGGTACTGTTAATTAATTGAACTCCAAAATATGATCGATTGAATTTATTCTACAAGTCAGACAGTCGTTCAGGCAGATGGTAAGGAATAATTAATAATAATAATTGCACAGTAGAAACTGTCTTCTAGCACTGCAGAGATCCCTACCTACTACTTATCCGGGTTAAACTCTAGTGAAACCGTCTTTGTTGTATTAAAAGGCTGACGGCATAAGACACGTAGTCAATTTATTCAAATGCATTAGAATGAATACTTTTCGTCTGCTTGAATCACTGGGCTACTTAAATTTTATATCCACCAAAATGCATCGTATTTACTTCACTTTGTATTGTTTTAACTATCCAGTTACGTCTGTGAATCGCAATCTATGCTCACACACATTTTCAAATTGGTATTTATCCACCACTGTGGGTTTTTCAAAGTAAATGGGAGAATAACATTGCAGCATGCTTCGAATGGGACGATATTGCTTCACACGATGTGTTATCGATTATGCACAAGAAGTAAATAATTTACGATGAAACACACTAGAGATCCTGTGTTGTCTATGAACACGTCTTTCAGAATAAAGCTATTATTATTTTCATCGTTATCAGTATTGGCTCACTCATTATCCTTCGCATTTGACTGACTTAGCAAGACGTCTCATACCGTCAGCCTACCAATAATTGTTGCACGTCTGCCATTCATCTCATCTTAACATTTCACGTAGGTTGATGATGAGAGGTTATCTTTAATTTGTATCATAATCCAGCGACGAAACAGTTTATTCTGTAGCATACCCGTCGTCCTGAACAGGCCAGCATACAGAAGTAGTTGGAAGTGCCTAGTTGTGTAAGTCAATACCACACTTACGTGGTTTCAAAGTCATCAACTGATTATCAAGGAGGTGCGAATGGTGACCACAGAATTGATTTTTTAACATCACTTAAGATAATTAAAGCACAAGTTAGTCCCATTCTACTAGGTATCAACTAAGGCATGTCAATTAAACGGTTTAAAGTAAACTCGCGTATTCAGAAAGAAACGCTCATCAAGCTCTCCCTATCATGTAGACAATTTTTCTAATTCGGTTACTTCAGTTAATTTTGATGATGTCATTGCATACCCTTTAGGGCAAAGTTAAACTATTATAGCCAAAACCACAGTGACTTCGAAAAACCATAATCGTTGAAAAATGCACTAAAAATCACTGCAAACATGATAATACACCACAAATTTGTCACTTATGCTTTGTAAGAATGTCTCCCTGTCACTACACAGATGATGTATGAAGAAATCATACCATACGCGATAGATGCATTAATGCAGTGACTGTACTTCATGGTACTTACAGATTCAATGATATTTCTGACACTGTAATTTAACCCACTCCTAAATCTCACTATAATCCCAATCCCAACCTTAACCCTATACACTAAACCTTAGTTTAAAATGTCATAACCCTACTTAACAGTATAGATTTACAGAAAAGTATCCAGCGAATAAGTGGAATACTCTATCTACCTCCTCTAAGTCCAAAAATGCAAGCACCTTGGATTTGGCTATGATACATTAACTTCACCACTACTACTATTAATCTGATCACTTCTAGTCATCATCATTTAGAACTCTTACGCACTATTTGCTTCTTATTTATGTATTTATTGTTTCTGCGCATTTATTTAATGCTCAACTCCCGTTCCTCACTCTAGAATATCCTGGTAACTTGATACAAATTTTCTGTTGGTCTTGAGTCTTCTAGAGCCTCGTGATGAGAGAGTGGACTGCCACTGCTAATCTTAAACACTATCTTCTACCAGCACCCTTTTAACAGCCTAAACACACATCAGACGAAAATGTATAAACAAATAGTATATTACACTCACTGTACTTGCAATATCCATCTTCACATGTAGTGTTAATCTTCAATTTCAAATTACCACCATCTTTATCACATTTTTAGCGTTAAACTTAACTAACTGACTGAGTGTGATTGATCATTAAATTCTTTACTCAAAAATTGGTGCAACGATAATATTAATATTACTAATAAAGGCACTCACTTTGTTCTGCGAATTCGGATTGGCTCCAAAGTAGCACAAACACTTGACTAACTTATAGAAACCATTATAGGAGGCATAGTGCAAACCTGTGTTTCCCTTTTTATACCGTTGTTTATGAAATGAAAACAGAAAAAGATATTTTTTTGTTTTAGAAACAAGCATAAACAGATGGGGGTTATTTAAATGACAACATTTTGATTGGTGTGATTGTGAGAAAAGACAAATATATTGTCCATTTGGTTATTCCTTGTCTCACAGACTTGTAAATGAAACTGAAACGAGAACTTGATCTGCTCTATGATTCGAACTAATGGTTACTGATTTAGCAGCCCGGTGCTCTATGGATTGAATTGCTGATTTACACAAAAATAATAATAACGATAACTTTATTCCACACACATATAACCCTCTCTCGCATATTCTCTTTTTGTTGTTTATATTATCACTTGCTCATGTGGAGCTTCTAATCAGACTAAATGAAACTCAGTGTGAACACTGATCAGGACTACTCATTACTGTATAGTCGTTCTTACTCATGATAATTCTCTTTTGTAATCGAATTCTCAATTTATGCATACTGTCACATACACGTGTTTTGTACTATAATCTATCGACGATCTGTTCACACATACATCTTGCAATATTGACTTTAATGGTTCGACGTTATTCACAAACCACTAATGTTGTCATTGACGTGGTATCCGGCTACGCATTGAAGGCCGTTTCTAAGAAGCAGCAACTCGGTCTGTCGCCCTTTATGGCTGCGAGACATGGTCATTGGAAGTGGAGGACTTGAAGAGGCTAACTGTCTTTGACCATAGGTGTTTGTGCTCTATTCGTCATGTTAAGTGGTATAATACGGAGAAAAGCAATGAGGTCGGCAGTAAAGTTAGGCAAGGAAGACACGTGATATGAATGAAAATCCTTCGTCTTTCTCGATGAGCAATGTTAGCTGACATATAATTAGGTTAGTAAAGAGTTAGGGGTGGTCAAATCAAAACCTGGTATCAATCCATGAACCCTTTAACTGTTTGATTGACTCACCTAGGGAGAGAGAGCAGTGAGAGCAGACTGCTCTGCCCAAGTCCTCAAGTCACTAAGAATCAATGGATGGAGACTTTCGTTGACATGACTCGAAACCGACCTCAATGATGTAGATGCATTCACACTTCATGACCTACCAGAATCACTTAATTCTGGCTATCCAGTGTGTACTTCTTTCCCCAGTACAGTCAAATCCATTATCTTTGTGTGCTATATGATGTGCGGCGACTTGAACTGCTGCACTTTTGTGCTAAGTTGTGTGTTGAAAACTCATCTACTGCTACCTAATATTCTTTCTGATGTCTACACTGTTAGTCGACTTGCTCCAGTACGAGTCGTTGTAACGCCTCTTGTTAGTGCCTTAACCTTTGGCTGTCTCGGTGACCTCCAGTGGCAGTTCTCACATCAACTGTCGCCCACACAACACTCTAAAAACACATCATACTCGCTCAGCCTTATTCACCACAAAACACCACTGAGATTTCACCTTCTTGGAGTCAGCATAGTTCTAAACAGTTAATAGTATTGAAATAATGGAGAAAATTTGTAGCTGATTCTGATTTACAACACAACTAAATCAAAAGTTAATGGTATTTTCGAAGCTCATATAAAGAATGTTTTAGAAGCTCTTACTCCCTTTCCTTTAGGTTCCGTAATTCGTATGTGTTGATTTTTTTCTTCAGTAATGATGGTATAAATTTTTGCGGAGAAGAGCATATAATATATGATGTTTCCCGAAGAATTTGTGTAAACCCACGAAATTCGCGAGTGGGTTATTTTGTTCTCTTTGGTTTAAAAATTAGCTGACAATCCGTCAATTCTAAAACGATTATTAATGACAACAGTCTGTACTTGATGGTCTTAAGCATTCCTTATATGAGATAGTACAGCTCAAGTTCTACTCACTACTCCACTTGAAAAATATCTAGGCATTACGAAGTTCAAACTCCCACAGAGATATGCGGAAGAAGAGCAACATAAGTAGCACTACACGAAACTCACCTCACGATCACACTGATTCACCTCTGCTCCACATTTTAAAAGTAATGAAGTTACTTGAAGGCTTTTGGAAAGGATGCTTTTGTGAAGGGGTGTATGGCCTGACTACACAAAAAAGTAGGAAACGTCAATTCAACTTGGTGAATACACTCGTCAGAAGTAATGATAGCAAGTAAATAAACATGGGGTTTACAAGGAACTTGATAAGGAAATATTTGAATCACTCAATTATATTTCCAAATGTTATAAAGGCAAACTGCAACGATACCATTGAGAATCAAATAACTAACAGTGACAGAGAACTTATCAACAAGTTATATTGACTTTACAAAGCATTCCCTGACCTGGCCTCTAACACATCAGAATGATCTAGTTTATCAGGAATTTGGATAAAGATTACTAGGCGATGAAATGCGGATGACACCACAAATGGACCACTACAGATTGTTATTTGTCCACCGATACTTAAATATTTAATACCTTAATTTATAAAACCCTATGGTTGAATATTTAAGGAGTAATGATATGCTGCAACACTACAACAGCAAAACATTCAATCATTTTGTTATTATTTTACCGCATTTCATTGGCTCTTCTTGAATAAATGTTCGTATTTGAGGTTAAGAGAAACACTCTTTACGACTGTAATGATGTATTTCCTTGTCGCTTACCGACCACGAACTATCCCAAGGTGATTCCTACTAATGTGTAACATTTAGTCGTGCAGGAAAATCCAAACTATTTGTACTGAGATGATTGTTAAGATCCATACTCATTCCCAATTATGACTTTAAAAACCAACCACACAGAAAAAAGCTGTTAATACCTCATCATTTAAGTCTACCAAATGGAGGTAAATAGTTGGAGTATAAACTTCCAGAGGACACTCGGAAATAGCAATCGATATCTACTCTATCAACTGACTTCATCCTTTTAAAATAATGTCTACTACTTCTGGCCATTATCGTTTTCATGCGCTAATCGACATATCTTGTGGATACATATTTCTAAACATATTTTGGTATGGTGACACTTCCAACCATTCAATAACAGTGGGGAAATCACCTAATGCTTGTAGACTGTTGGTAGCAAACAGACGATTCCCATGACCACAGTGGTCAGGCAGGTGCGAGCAGTTTCTAATGAGGCGATAATTTTTGGAAATAGAAAGGTGGAGACGAAGCTGCTGGATTCATCGAAGTCAGACAGCCTCCTTGAGAAACGAATGACAATTACCGGTCTGTTCACGCATAGAAAAACTTCAAGTATCAAATTGTCACATGCTACTCTAGTTTTAGCAGCCCCTTCACTGGATAGAATCGCTAGTAACATTCCTGAATTCCACGATAACTCCGATACCAACGTTACTTTTGATATTTGGTGCAGGCAATTTCGAAATAGATTTCGCTGGCCAAGATAGCTTCTGGGAAGCATGTCTCCTTCTTCGAAAATTGAGTCCACGTGAACACCGCAGCATAATTCTGCGGCAGAATTCACGCGATCGCGCCTGCTTATAATTACGAAGGATTTCTGTTTTGTGATGTTTAAGTCTGTGGGTGATCTCTGATGTCAAGCGATATGAGGTGAAAGCGTTATGCATGAGTAATGATTTTCATCTCAACAGACTTCCAAATATTTGATAGGAAATTTTATCTAAGGCTTCTAGTATAAATACAGTATTCTCGCAACACATATAAAACACTAATACAGTGCATAATTATATTTGAAATAAAGACATTTCAATAAAACAAATGGGCATTGTGCAATCGCCAAGGAATTGAAACAAAGCAACAAACAAATGATGTTCTCAAGATGTCGAGAGCGAATATACGTGGGTCACTTTGTACCATGCTTTTGGAAACTTTCAGCTGCTTACAGCAACCCTAATCATGTAACCTACACTTTCTGAGGTGACTTCGATCACCAATTTACCCGACTAATTTTGGCAAAGATTCTGAGCAAAGAAAGATACCGATCTAGCATGTGACACGTTTTGCACCCATCACAGGTTCACTGGTATGTCTACTAACTTACAGACCGCACATAATCCTTGGTGCTTAACTCCGACATTCTCATTCGGATACCTTACATTTCACAAGCCTTGACCTAATGGTACTTATAGACAGATGCACCGATTCTCTCTATGTCTGTTAGTTTTAATGCTCCCCATTCCAACTGTACACCATGTTTTAAACACCAGTTACATACAACATGAATAATATGAAGTTTTTAGTTGAATAAAAATACGACATTGAATAACTTACGCTATCCATTAAATTTACATCTGCTCGTCCAGTTTCTATCAGCGTTCTACACAAGCGAATATTTCCTGCTTTACACGCATCGTGAAAGAGACTGTGTACCTATGATTAGTAAAGTTCACAAGAATTTATTCAGCAGTGTATTTACAAGACAGTGGCATAGTGGTTAAGGTTATAAGTCAATGTGATACAAAATATAACAACTATCGGGATCAATTAGATGGCATTTGCCTAGATGAAAAGAAATACCATAAGTTCACCTTATATTTAATTGGAGAAACCCTCTGAACAAATGACTCCAGTTCCGAATATACAACCTCAAAATCGGTTGGACGGAGCTAATCATTAAGACAAAAATATTCTCACGCACATAATGTGCCTTATGATTAACCAAATTTAAATGAACAAGCTACCTAGAAGTATTTTGCTAAAAGTGACTTTCTGATAGTTGAACTGTAAGTAGAAATAGCACAATTGAGATTGTTCAGATCATCCTGCGACACTTTTCGGAAGTAAAACATATCTAAGGCTTGGAACGTAAAGGATAAATATGATATTGCAACCAGTAATATAATTCGGATACTTAAAGAAAGTCAAAAATGTGACTTACTTCTTCAGAGATAATTTCTTCATTAGAAATTTCCATGTCGTCCTGCTGCATTATTCTTCTTAGTTCTTCAATGGATTGAGTGCGCTAAGTTCCAGTCTAGCTAAAATAGCTTTCAACAGGGAAATATTCTTTAGGCATTGCGTTAAGTGGGTCCGAATTTCTACACTCAGTCTTCGCAAGGGGCAATACTTACGTCTGTGTAAATTATCAAACTAGTGGCTAACTACAACTAAGGGACACACGTGAGGGCTAACGGAACCATTTCGTTAGGGCTCGAAATTGTGGCCAAATGACTGAACGTTGAGTAAGGATTTAATGCAGATGACCACTTTTGAAACCAAGAAATAGAAAACCTCATGGAAGTTGTCCCTCAGTGAAAACTACACTACTGTCTTGGCAAAGAACTAAACTTCAATCGAGTGTTACACAATAATCTAGGTGGAGTAATATTATGCGTAGCATTTGGTATAACCAGCACTGAAGACATAAGGCTCTTCCTCACTAAACATGCATGCACTACCACCACATAATCTAACACTTTTAAGTCACAGTCTAGGTTGCCACACCTCATCTGTGAAAGCCAAATGGAATAAAATGTCGGAAAAGACAAATAGACTGCCACATATTATGGGAAGTTATGAGGCAGAGAAAAAGGAAAACACCGATATAAGTGTACGATACCATGTCTGGAACTAAGACAGACTGTCAACAGGTCTGCACCACTGTGATCAATTCTGAGTCACCCTGTAGACCCAAAATTTTGTTTCTCGTCGTCGGTAAATTCTAGCCAGGAAACTCACTTTTACCAAAAATGAGAAAGCTAGTGAAGTAGCGATATATCACACAGACAGTTTCCCACCTCAGTGATGATTAGACTTCAGCTGACATCATGTATAGGCTTAGGTGGCAGTTTGGCATGTTCAGCGTAAATTGATAAGGTTGCACAATTTCGCCAACCGCTCCACTTCTTTTACTTAAGACGTTGCGTCTAACTTCCGCATTATTCCTGTGTCACTAACAACGCATGCGGACAATGTTATACGCGTCGAATTCTTGCTTTTCTTCTGTGCTCTCGTTTCCAAACCATAAAGTAGAACGAACCGCACTGCTCTTCAGCATAGTGGTTTCTCAAGAGGTAAGCTAACATCTTGTCGTTAGAAAATGCAACAAAGCATTGGCAGCCTATGTCAGGTTTCGTATTTCTAAAGTGACATTCTCTATGAAATAACACCAACACAATCACGACCATTGACCATTCACAAACACTCCAGAAGAAAGAAGTTCGACCCATCGAAAAACTTGTATTACTCAAAAAATGAATAAGGGGGATAAAACAATCCACACGCCTTCTGCTCTTCGTTATTGTCGCGTCCTCACAGTTGACATCCTTCATGCGACAGAGAACTGACTCCCTAGATTTTGTCTGAAACGGAATGAAACAGAACACTGGTCAGCATTACAGATACTCAAGCTTTCATACCGTTACACCAAGTCAAAGCCAGTAATCAACCACAATAGTTCATGGAATTATGTTGAAACACTTGGAAGTGGCTATTTGAAAGTCTTGTCAGATGTGAAGTAACACCCGTACTAGGAACTTACTTTATCAGAAAACCTCGACAATAATTTGTAGTTGAAAACTAATCACTTACTAAGTAATCCCAACCAACTCACATTCATTCAAAAGCAAGTTACATAGCTTGTATATTAGTCATACTTTGGATACGTATAACTTTATGCATTCAAGGTAAGTTGGCCTCCAGTTTCGATCGATTTTATCGTGCAATTTAATTCAAAACGATAGCCAGTTTTGTGTCAGGTCTTATTACTATTCAAATTGTATGGGTTCACATGTTGGTAGCACGGACTGCATTGCCATCCCCACTCCTTCACTCTGCATCTCCAACACATAGTGGGCCAAACACCTGTCGTAACAGTAAAGTTTATCGATTTGTTATTAAATGAAACTGAGGAATAAAACGGTTAGTCGTTACGCTAGCAACCCCACCTAGCAGCGAAATACCACCACCACAACTAAAGCTACGAAAGTTACGAACTATATGTTCCTCTAGGAAAGCAAGTAATGGAAAATAGTATTGTTTACCGTTACCTCCGTCAGAGTCCCGCTGAAGCTACTCGGTGGTAACTTCATCCAAGTAATAAATCACAATTATAATGTAAAAACGTCGATACAATAGAGGCATGCTTCAGTCTCAGTGCTGTAAATCTTGATA